CGGGGTCGCACTCCCCCTGAAGACGCAGGTTCGCAGTTTGGGTGTGATCCTGGACTCATCGCTGAGCCTGGAACCCCAGGTTTCGGCGGTGACCAGGGGAGCATTCGCACAGTTAAAACTTGTGCGCCAACTGCGACCATACCTTGGGAAGTCTGACTTGGCCACGGTAGTCCACGCTCTGGTTACATCCCGTCTTGACTACTGCAACGCTCTCTACGTGGGGTTGCCTTTGAAGACAGGCCCGGAAGCTCCAATTAGTCCAACGGGCGGCAGCCATGATACTAACAGGAGCGGGGCGCAGGGAGCATACAACTCCTCTGCTGCACCAGCTCCACTGGCTGCCGATCTGCTACCGGGCTCAATTCAAAGTGCTGGCGTTGGCCTTTAAAGCCCTAAACGGTTCTGGCCCAACTTATCTATCCAAACGTATCTCAGCCTATCAGCCCACCAGGACCCTAAGGTCTTCTGGGGAGTCCCTGCTCTCTATCCCGCCGGCTTCACAAGTGCGGCTGGCGGGAACGAGAGACAGGGCCTTTTCTGTGGTGGCCCCTCGGCTTTGGAACACCCTCCCCATAGAGGTACGATCAGCCCCCTCGCTGATGGTGTTTTATGCTTTTAAACTGAATACTGTTTTTTAAATGTTGTAAACCGCAATGAGTCGCCGACTTAGGCTGAGATATTAGCGGTATACAAGCGTATAAATAAATAAAATATAAATAAATAAAGCAGGTATGGGTGAACTTTGACCCTCCAGGTGTTTTGGACTTCAACTCCAATAATTCTTAACAGCCGGTAAGATGGCTGGGATTTGAAGTCCAAAACACCTGGAGGGCCAAAGTTTTCCCATGCCTGTGCTAAAGGATTTCAGACAAGTAGTTCAGTAAAGACATAAGGTTGGCATTACTGATTTGTTAGCATATATAAGTGGTGGCCTTCTAATTTTTTACCACATTTTGGAAAATTCCGAGGTTGCTGAGGGTGGAAGATGATGCCAATGCACTTTCACTCTGATTAGAATTCTTCCAGTCTTGATTTTTTGTTGTTGTTTCTGGGTAGCAGTTTTGTTTGTTTTTATTCCGTCTTTCTCCTGACATAAGAATTCAAGGGAGCTAACAGTGGACATGATGCAATGTAATGCATATTAAAATAAATTAAATGCATAAACATGAATTTAAAAAATGAGAAACTGTTAAAACATAAAATTAAACTACAATAAATATACAATTAAATACAGTTTATAGTAAAAAAACTATACTGCTCCTCAAAATCTCCAGCAGCCAGGCCCTCAATATTCACTAAATACCTGATGGCAGAGGTATGTTTTTATCTGCTTGAGAAAGGCAAGCAGGGATGGGCCACTCTGGGCTCTCTAGGGAGGGAATTACAGAGTATAGGTGCAACCAATGAAAAGGCCTGCTTGTTTCCACCATATGAGTTGAAAGGTGTTGAGACAAAAAGAAGGCCCCCTCCAGAAAATCCATAATGTTCTCACAGTCTCATACTGAGAAATACAGTCCTTCAAAGAGCCTAGGATTCTATAGATCGAAACCAGAAATTTGAGTTGTGCCTGGGAAGGGGTTGGCAGCCAGTGGAGCTGTTGAAACAGGGGGCTTGTAGCTTAATGTTTTATTCTATATTTTTGTACTCAGAAGCTGGATTACTTGAGCTTTGCTGTCATTTTAAGTATTTGTACGATTTCAGTCTTGGTAGTAATCAAATGCGCATGCACAACCTCAGTGTTGTTGATCTGTATATATGACAAACTCTTAGATCAGTGATTCTCAACCTGTGGGTCCCCAGATGTTTTGTCCTTCAACTCTCAGAAATCCTAACAGCTGGTAAACTGGCTGGGATTTCTGGAGGTTGTAGGCTAAAACATCTGGGGACCCACAGGTTGAGAACTACTGTTTTAGATAATCTTTTATCTAATTGAATCAAAATATAGATAGCATGGACAGATGCTTTATGACATTATAAATAGATATTCAAAAAGTAGCTTTAGAATACTTGCAATTTATAATAAATGTGTTAAAGGAAAATACTCAGGAAAGGAATAATGGTTAGTTTGCCATTTTTCATTGATTTCCATGAACAAGCGCATAATCCCAAATTAATTACCAGTTTGTTTCCCCTTTGAAGTGTGTGATGCATTTACTGTTGTGACTGAGTTTTGTACTGGAAGATACTGCAATTTAGTAAGTGTTCTTCCATTGTTGTATATCTTTCATGTCATTTCTGACTTATGGTGTCTCCAAGGTGAACCTACCAGGGGGTTTTCTTGGCAGAATTTGTTCAGAGAAGGATTGTCCTTGCTTTCCTGAGAAAGTCTAACTTGCCCAAGGTAACTCAGTGGGTCTCCATAACCATACAGGGATTTGAACTCTGGTCTCCCAAGTCTCCTAGTCTGATATTCAAACTACTACACTTTCATGGCTATCATATTACTATAATAACAGATCCAAAATAATACGTTTGTTTATAGCCCACTTTTTCTCTCCAGAAGGAGACTCAAACTAAAATAGTCTGACTGCAATATCATGTTTGGTATTTTTTCTTGTCACGAACAATATTCTTTGAGTATTTTGTAATTTTCCTTGAGTTGGTTTTAGGATATGTTTGTCCATCTAGCACAGGGGTCCTCAAACTAAGGCCCGAGGGCCAGATATGGGCCTCCAAGGTCATTCATCCAGCCCTCACTCAGGGTCCACTTAAGTCTGCAATGACTTGAAAGCACAGAACAACAACAATCCTATCTCATAAGTCTAAAGCAGGCCCACACTTCCTATTGAAATACTAGTAAGTTTATATTTATTAAAATTGTTCTTTAATTATTTTATTGTTTTAAAGTGTTTTTTGCACTACAAGTAAGATATGTGCAGTGTGCATAGGAATTCATTCATTTTTTTTTCAAATTATAATCCGGCCCTCCAACAGTTTGAGGGACTGTGACCTGGCCCTCTGTTTAAAAATTTGAGGACCCCTGATCTAGCACATGAACCTTTTGTTGCAAAATGTTTACTTTTGGGAACCAGTGCAACACATGGCAACTTCTTGGATATTAATATTTCCCCAGTTGGCAACATTTGTTAGTTAAATATGTAGCAAACTGTATATTTGCATAATCTAAATGCTAGCTATCAAAGGAGCATTACAGAAATCTTTTTATTTAGGAGGTGGAGTAATGGTGGGGCTTAGCAGATCTTGCTGGACTGATTTTTGGCATTATGAAGTTGACAACAAAGGCCGCCTTAACTTTAGCAGTGGAAAATTGCGGAGTTCGACTCTGTGTCTTAATCTGATAAAGACATATGCCAGTTGACTTTGTACAGTCAGCAGTCACAGTGAACTCAATAGCAGCATTCAGTCTGCTTGATTTGCAACAGAACACATTGGATTTGTTATGCACCTGTGCGTAAACACTTGCATAACTTGGCATGTTTATGTAATTCCCTTGAAGCTGGTTGAGTGAAAAAGCCTGCAGTCTTTAACTGGCTTTGGAATGAATACTGGAATTGCAAATTAGTGTAAAAAAGCTCAAACAAACCTGTTGTATTATTGAATGTATATAAACATATTCCTTCACTTTTTTAAAAAAAATATTTCACTATGTTAGTGGATTGAATTGGCTCTATCTTTAGAATGTGATCAGCATCATTTGTGATAGAAAGGAACTGTCCTCATATTTGAATATCCAACGATTGCTTTGATTTGCTATCAATGTTTTAGAATAAAGATTTCTACCTTTGTGCAGCAAAATGAAGTAGTTGCCCGATAGTTGATGTCCTAAGAGTTTGTGACTGGCTTTCTTTCTGCAGCTCTTTGTGGTTATGTTGTCTTTAGAATTAAATGAGTAAAGTTGGAGCAGGTAAACACCAATAAAAGTGTTTGTTGAGCTCCTAGTGATTACTAAGTTTGCAATCCTTTGCACACATAACTTCCAATTATAAAAGAAGAAGATTGCACTTCTGGTTTAGCTATAAATATTTTTACACTTCTTGTTTTTGAATTATGGAACTTTCCTGTGCTATACCCTCAAAGCAAGGTCATTTGGATGACAGATCAGTCCCCTCCTGTAGTAATGTATGGAAACTTTGGTGAAGCTTTATTTTATGTTAAGGTTCACAAAAAGAAATTTAAATTTGGCACTCTTTTTGCTACTCACTGTAGTACTAGTAGCGTTATAGATGAGCTGGTCCTCATTTGGCCAAAACTGGGAAGTGGCCTTACTCTGATTGACATCGCTCTTAACCATTGTAACTGACATCATAAGACAGAGTCTTTGTGGCTATCTGTCGGGAGTACTTTGATAGTATATTCCAGAATTGCAGAATGTGGTTAGACTGGGTGGCCCTTATGGCCTTTCCCCCCTTGATGTTTTTTTCTACTTCTTTGATTTCTTTGTAGGTCTGTGACTCTTAACATAATTTGTAATTATTTTGCCTGACGAAGAAGTCAGTGGAGTTTGGAAAGCTTGCTTGATATGTATTGTATTTTTTATAGCGGGGCTCCATAAACATCACTGTTTTGTATATTTTGTTTTATTTGGTGTATGACCAACATGGCTATTCCCAAATATGTTTCTAAGCTTTGGTAATGTTGTATTTGGAGTGTAGTCAAAAGTTGGTGGGGATATACTAATACTAAGTATTAGAAGTTAACTTTTAACCTATAACCATAGAGCAAGTCTTAGAAATCTGTGAGAAATACTCAGAATCTGAGGTGGAGCTACATTATATGTGAGAGCCCTGTGTAACTCCCTTTGTTCCTATAGGGGTACTTTTTGTCTTCTAAGCCTTTCTCTTCCTCCAGATTTTTCTGGAAATTCCAGATATGTTACAGATGTGTTTTGCTGAAGAGGAATATTATTCAGAATAAGCAAACATGACTATGGAATTTGGATTTTGCTAGCACACAGCATGCCTGCTTTAGAACATGAGTATTGTAATAATCTGTTGATAACTGACAGTTTGCTGAACAAACTTTCAATTGTTTACCTACAGTGAAGAATGCGAGACCTCAGAGCTCATGTAACCAGCAATCTGCTGCAGTTTCCAGAAGTGACTGTACAGGCACTTGGAGAAGATGAGCTAGCAATAGACTGTGTGCTTCATGGAAAATTCACCGGAGGTAAACTTCTTGTCCATTTTTTGTGTGTCTATTATGAGTGTTTTAATGTCTGAATGCATGTTCGAATATCACAGAAAGCAAGGATACTAACTGAGAAGAGCAGATTACATAATTAAATTCTTGTGGGGAGCGATTGTCTTGAATCCACAGTGCAGTTTGTGGATACCACCTGTAGATCCAAGTGTAGGATGAGAACTTTTAAATACAATAGGCATATCCTCATAGACAATGAGACTCTTGAAGTGCTCATCATTCTCAGTTCTAGTAGCAATTATATCTCCTAATTTAAGTAAGATCACATTCCTCCTGAAAGAAATATATAGTTTGAGGTTTCACAGGTGGCACCAGTAATTTGAGTATATTTTTACCAGCTCTGGCGAGTGAATTTGCTGTGTTCTTCCTCTCTAACTTATGAAACAGTAACTTCTCAGCATCGTACAGTAACAAAGTCAGTTTGAATCTTCTTGTTGATCAATGGAAATTTAGTTAATTTAGAGTGCAATTGTCCACATATTGAGTGATGTGACAAAAAGAGAATGAATTGCTCTAGTGTTTGTGCCACCATTCTCCATTGGTTTAACTTCCTGCCCAGCTTAATATACCAGTTCTTAATTTATGAGTTGTTCACATCTTAGATCCCTTCCCTTTCTGAATACATTCTTCTATATGAAGTCTTGGCTGTGTTATCAGATCTGACAGTTATTTCATTGGAGAGTTCTCTGTTGCAAAGCTCCCTTTGCCAAGAGTTAGAATCTGTAACGGATTAGCCTACTTTCCAAGGTTGGTGTACAGGCAGTAACAGACCTGAGTTGGTAAAGTTAAGAAGAGCAGGTGGTAGGAGAGATCAGACAGCTTCATAGCTGGAAGTGCAGTCTGATTGGCTGATGAAATTGGAGGGAGTTGCTTAGCAACCGGAGATGGGCAGAGCCAGAAGGAAAGAGAGAGCTAATTCAGCCATACTTTTGTCAGTTTGGAGTTTGAAGAGTTTATTAGGAGATTTGAAGGGGAAGGAAAGAAGGAAGAGTTTGGGAACTGTTATTAGAAAGATACTTCTTTGAGGAAAGTAATTAAAGCCTCCAGGGAGAAGGAGAAGAAGTATTAGTGGGCCTCTATAGTTTTAGAGTGCTGGTGTGGAAGGAGGATTCAAAAGGTTTAAAACAACCTGTTTGTATTCCTGTGTATGGAACATTGTTTTTAAGAAACTCAAGATATAAAACCATTTTCTGTAAAAGTAAAGCCAGACTGTTTGTTGAAACCATTACGCATCTTTACTGTTCAAGAACAAAATAAACCTCATATTCTTGTTTAATTCCATCTGAAGAGTTTGTGTGTCTTCTTGAACTTTCTACCAAGGAGGTAGCCTATGAATCAATAAATAGTGGAAGAAAAGGAAAATATACAGTGGTAGCTTCCCACTGTCCTGTCTTGTGTGCGTTTCTATACTTGTCTCCTCTCAGCCTACGCTCGGCCTGTCATCTTTATTGCAGAATCAAACACTTTGTGAGCCACATGTGGCCCATATTAGAAAGGACTGCATGGGATACCCCCGCCCAATTAAAAAAATTGGGCTAATGTTTTTCCAGATAAAAATTGACTATATGGTACATTGTTGTGCCAATAAAACCTGCTTTGCGAGGGGCACCCATAAACAGACCTGCCCCCATCTCAAAACCTCCAAAAGTGGCCACTATTACTATGTATACTTATGTATAAGTCTAGAAATTTTAGTTTAAAAAAATCCCCCCAAACCTGGATTGACTTATCTACGCATCAGTGTAACTCCGGTAATTTAACTTTTCTCAAAAAAGAAACCATGTCCTTCTCCGAGTAGAGTGACAAAAGGTGAGAGATTAATCTGTAACAGGAGAACTTAAAAGAAACCGCCTTTCTACCATGGTACTGTGACTAGCTTTTTTCAGTAGTAGGATGGAAAAATGGAGGTACTGGTGGCCAGAGGCAGCTGGCTTCCTGAGGTAGTCAGCAGTTTTCCCTCTCTGCTGAATTAGCCTAAACTTATCCGAGAGACACATCAAAATTCATAGTTTCGGTCACAAAACCAGCCCTCAACATACAGAATCTTTATGTTGGAAAAGAGTTGGAAAAGACAGCAAGGATCATTCAATCCCCAACCACGCAGGAACATAAAATTATAGCACCTCACAACTGGCCATACAGCATCTGCTTAAAAACCTCCAGAGAAGGAGACTCCACCATGCTCTGAGGCATTATGTTTCCACTTGGCTGTGTTATCAGACAGCTCTTAATCTTCCTAATGTTTGAGTATATCCTTTTCCCCTGCAATTTGAATCCATTGCTCCCTGTCCTTGTCTCTAGAGCAACAGAAAATAAGCTTACTCCTTCCTCAATGTTACATCCTGCTTTATATAGCATAGAGAAGGGCTAACACCCCTGTGGTGTTTGTTTTGCTGTTTGTGCCCCTGTTCAGAAGATTTCACTGCACTTTCTGTCCCTGTGATGATTGGATTTTGAAAAAATTGGCTTGTTGTGGAAACAAGGATTAATGATACCTTTTCCCCATTATAACTGTTTCAGGAGTGAATTTCCCTTCGTAGGGATAGATTTCTTTAACTTCCTGTTGTCTCATCCGTGTTTGTAACAATTAGTCATTTGTAAGACCGATGTTTGTAACTCGGGGGCGGCTTGTACATTTATGTGTTGTTTATTGATTGCACAAATATTGCTCTGGGGTGTACTCTTGTGGCATTTACTTCTTTTGTTTCAGGACGAAGTGGACTAGCTTGCCTAGCATGTGGCCCTCAACTTGAGATAGTAAACACAGTCACTGGAGAACGGCTGTCTGCATATCGCTTTAGTGGGCCAAATGAGCAGCCTCCTATCATTCTTACAGTGAAAGAGTTTTCCTGGCAGAAAAGAACTGGGCTGCTTGTTGGCTTGGAAGAAACAGAAGGGAGTGTGTTGTGTTTGTATGATCTTGGAATATCAAGAGTGATTAAAGCAGTAGTTCTTCCTGGAAGGGTATGTATATGACTTTAAAACTTCAGATACTTTTCTCTATTCCTGTTTTCTTTCTCTTTGAAATAAGTTAAATTCTCTGCTTTGTATCAGCAATTACCTTTATATCGAAAATGCATATCTTATTGTAGCAGGACCTGGTACAGAGATGGATTGCAGGTCTCAGCAGCCTTTACTATTGTAGACAATCCTGAAGAATGCTGGGAGTTGCAATCCAACATCCCCATGTCAGACTGTACATAGTGGTGTGATCTGGGGATAAGCTTTATCCCTCTGGGTGTTTTGGCCTAAAATGCCTGTCAACCCCACCCTTTCTAATGAGGGCTGGTTGGAGTTGGAGGCCTGCAAACTGAATTGCAGATGAATCCAGAATTGCTTCCTTAGTGACCAAGTGTGACTGAAATTTTGAATTTATATTCAGAGTTCAGGACATCAGTTAGCTGAGGTAACAAAACGAAATTAAGTCCAGTAATCTTGTATATAGGAAGAAGTGATATTCAAAAGAAGGACTGAACATAGCACAGTGGCTTGGTTAGTAGTTCATCACATATTGTTAGCTTCAATATGTGAAGCTAACCGAGAACAGATTTATTTGTGCTCTGAAACAGACAATTATTCTTCCTATACCCAAAAGACAGTTCAGACAAAAACCAAGAATGGACAAATCACTTCATGTAACTACTTCCTGGTGACTAACTGAGCAATAACACTTCATGGAAAAATATAGTTCGGTTTTTCTGATTAATTGAAGTTGTATCTTCTGTTTGGCATAGGGGACAGAGCAATTCATTTATTTCCAGTTACTATACAGGCTACATCTTTCTACAGAACAACAACAAACTAATGAAATAAATCTCAGTTATGGATAATAGAATTGGGTTGGAAATGCAAGAAAAGAACAAAATACTAATATGTTCATTTTACATGTTTTCCGAATGCATAAGTAACTTTCATTTTCCCTTTAGGTTACTGCCATAGAACCAATAATTAACCATGGGGGAGCCAGCTTGACAACACAACACTTGCACCAAAGTCTCAGGTGGCTGTTTGGTGTGGCTGCTGTGGTTACAGATGTTGGACATGTCTTTCTGATAGATCTTTGTCTAGATGACTTGTCATGTAGCCAGAATGAAATAGAAGCATCTGGTAAATATGCTACTTTTTCTGTAGTGTTGATTGCTAGCTGATAACAAACATTACGTTTCCTAGTTCACATGTGCCATTTTCATATTTTTAGGGATCATAACTTGCAGAAGAGGAGTGACTAGGGCATCTTAAACAAGAATTGCTTCTCCCTTCATTTCCAATAGGCTGGTTGGCTTTGGTTTGGCAATCTAGAAAACACATTTCTGATCATATTTACCATATTTACTTGACTCTAATATACACCTTTATATGTTGCCAAAATTATGGTGTGCATCAGATTTGATGGTGTTCTCAAAGTTGGCTGCCTCCCTCACTTGATTTCTTGGGCTCTTCAGTACACCTTTCTGCCAATGGGATGGGAGCCAAGGGAACGGGAGGCAGGGTGGGAGGTGGAAAGGAGTGGAGGAGACTGGAGAGACTACGTTATCCAGCAGGGTCTAGGGTGTTTTCCATGTGTAGATGCAACAAGGGGTGCAACCATTTGGAAAAGCAAACTAGCTGATACTGATTGGCCAAAATGTTGCTGGCTGAGGCAATGAGGATGAAAAGAGAGAAAGGAAACAAGTGTGTTGTTGCCACTGCCCAAAGGAGCAAACAAGGAAGAGGAGGGGCTCATTACATTTGCCAGCAAGTTCTTTTTTTTTTTGTTTCAGCCTTTTCAAATTTGAAGTGCACATTAGATTCGATGGCACATTAGACTTGATATATACGGGTTATTTACTTTATACCCCCACCTTCCTCCCTGAGTTAAGGTAGCTAACAGTCCCACATTTTTATGAATTTAAAACAAAGCGAATACAATAATTAAAAATAATTAAACAGTACTCTGTGTGTGTTAGGTTAAAAATACAGTTAAAATACAAGTAAAGTGCATTTTAAAACACCCAGTCTCCCAAAAATCCCACCCACAACCTCCCCCTCTTATGTGCCCATTATCCCTCTCCAAATTCCTGCCTGCAGAAAAGCATCTTGACCTGCTTGCAGAAGGCCAGCAAGGATGGGACCACCCTGGTCTCTCTTGGGATCCTATTCATAATGGTTTCTGAGGGATGGTGGGTTGGAGGAATTACACAAAGATTCCTGAGTGTTATACTGAAAATTATGTTCACATTACTGCCCACAATTGATTGCAGCCTTGTTTTCTAATACATCCATTTCCAAAGTCTCTAGTTATATTGCGTATGATAAAATTGTGTAAAATTGTATTTAAGAAATTGCATAAAACTTGTATATAATTCAAGGAGAATGGGGAGACTCCAGTAATAAGTGCCACTTAAATTACTGGACAAAAAGTAGAGCAAATGAAAAATAAACATATTTTGCAGATTTTCAATCTGAACTACCTTTCTATGGTTACTTTATTCTTTGATGTAACTTAAAAATAGGCAAAATTTATCAGTGCATATTTAAGTTGCATGTTGTCATTTACACAGATTTAGAAATTATCACTGGAATCTCTCCTGAAGTCCCACAAACAAGGGAAATTACAACAAGGAATGGTCGGCATCTTTGTTTCCAGTTATTGAAACCTTCAGGGAATGCTGTGACAACTCTCTCATACATTCATAGGACTAACCAGTTAGTTGTTGGATTTTCTGATGGATATCTCTCATTGTGGAACATGAAAACCCTGAAGAAAGAGTAAGTATGTTTATATGATATGTGAAATATTTCCATCGATGAAGTAATCTAAAAGAAAGGGTTGATAATGATGGTCTTACTTGCAATGTTTGTTTCATTGATATGTAAAAATGTGGGTGGTTATCCTTTTATCAAATCCTTATATCAGCCGTATGTAAACTAAGAAAGTATATGAAAAGTACAATATAGTTTAACAGGATTTGGAAAAATAGCTCAAAACTAAAATAATTGCATTGCAGTCATTTTGTCACATTTCCTTGTGATAGAACAGTCCAGTAGTTAAGTGAGAATAGACAGGTTCAGATGGGTTGAACTCAAGGGAATCAGATCTAGGATTTAAATAGAATAGAAACAATGTGACTTAATCTGGAAAGCCCAAGCATATAAATCAATTTCAGCACAACTGAGAGGAAATACTTTGAAAATTATACTTTGATGATATCACTCTTCACTTAAAATACATAGAATCAATAATGGTTTCCGTAAACTATGTTGGAGAAAGTGTGGAGAAAAAAGGGATTGGACCCACATTTAGCTGACATTCCCAATAGTATGAAGATTCTTGGATGAAGTTCTGTCATGGATAAAATAAATAGTGGGGGAAACAATACACTTCAGGGAAGCTTTACTACTCTCTCTATTAGAAAGTGAGAATAAAAATTTGGTGCATAAAAACCTTATGTTACCAATGCTATGTGCCACAAGACTCGAAATAGTCAGTACATGGAAAAAAGTCAAGAATATATCAATAATGAATTTGTTAAATAGGGTATGTGTTGTAGCATTATTATTATTATTATTATTACTACTACTATTACTATTATTAGGAGTTCCCAGTGGCACAAAGGGTTAAATCCTTGTGTCAGCAGGACTGCTGACCGAAAGTTTGGTGGTTTTAATCTGGGGAGCAGGGTGAGCTCTTGTCTGTCAGCTCCAGCTTCTCACCCGGAGACATAAGAGAAGCCTCCCACAGAATGCTAAAACATCTGGGTGTCCCCTGAGCAACGTCCTTGCATATGGCCAATTCTCACACCAGAAGCAGCTTGCAATTTCCCAAGTCTCTCCTGACATGAAAAAAAAAATATTATTATTATTATATTGTTTATATCATGCTTTTTCTCTCCATATAGAGACTCAAAGTGGCTCATAACTAAAAGCATTGCAATACAACTTAAAATATACAAGTATTAAAACAGTATTAAACATAATTAAAAACATATAAAATCACAGCAGCCCATTACAATCTTAAAAACCTTCTTTAAAAGCCTGACTGAATGAAAAGGTTGTAACCTGCCGCCTGAAGGACAGCAGGGAGGGGGAATATTCTGGCTTCCCTGGGCAGGGAGTTCAAAATATGTTATTATTCAGTCTCATGTAAACTGATGAACAGTTGTGTCTATTTGTTGTCCCTTTCCCCCTCTCCCAATTTAGATACCACTCCCAGTTAGAAGGAGGTAGAATTCCTGTATATGCTGTTACTTTTCAAGAACCTGAAAATGACCCTCGCAATTGTTGTTACTTGTGGGCTGTTCAGTCAACGCAAGAAAGGTGGGTAAAACTGATTTGTCAAATATAGAAAAAGCAACTGCTCATTGTCAAGGTTATAATCTGTGTTGAGCCTAAATCTTAACTGGGAATGCATCTACACTGTAGAATTAATGCAGTTTGACAAAACGAACTGGCCTGACTCAAGGATATAGCATCATGGGAGTTGTATTACTAAAACATCTTAGCCTTATCTGTCAAGAAGTGTGCCAGTGCCTCATTACACTATAATTCCCAGGATTTCGTAGCCTGGAGCCATGATAGTTAAAGTGGGTTCAAACTGCATTAATTCTACATTGTAGATGCACCCTAAGTCTTACTGTAGATGAGAAGTGGAAACATGTTGGGTATTTTTCCTGCTCTCAAATCCTCTGGATTCCTGAGCCCACAGTTTTTCTGACCAAAAAGGGGGATTGCCTCTCTAGGAAGCCTCTGGGAATTGCATTCTATCTTTAGTCCATTCCTCACAACTTCTGTTCTCAGGAGAATGCTTTACCAGACACTGTTGCGTCTCAGGTTAAGCTTCACCTTGCTCTCTGACAAACCAGCCAAACTTGAGAAGAAAATAGTTTATTGAGGTTTCAAACAAATCCAGGTAAAAGCAGTAAAAGTTCCAAAGTACAAAAGATAGGTTCTTAAATCAAAGCAGGAACTTGAGGCAAAGGAG